ACCAACATGGTGAAACCCCATCTCTACTAAAAATACAAAAATTAGCCGGGCGTGGTGGCGGGTGCCTGTCATCCCAGCTACTCGGGAGGCTGAGGCAGGAGAATCGCTTGAACCCAGGAAGCGGAGGTAGCAGTAAGCCAAGATTGCGCCACTGAGCTCCAGCCTGGGCAACAAAAGCTAGCTTCCATTCCAAAAAAAAAAAAAAAAAGAAAGAAGAAAAGGGAAAAAAAAAAAGAAACAAAAAACACCACGTAACACATAGAACACAAATTTACAAATAAATATAAGTAAAATCTCTGGAATGTTAAGAAAGAAAGCAAATGGCAGATTGGAGCAGGGACAGATGCCCGTGGGTGGGTGGAGGCGGTGTGGGCGGGTGGGACGGATGCTTCGGAAGGGTCCGACCCTCCCCTCGAGGTGGTGTGGGATGCCCAGCCTCCCCTCCGTCATGGCCGCGTGTCTGGCCCAGTGCACTTCTCCGAGAAACCAGGTTGGGCACTTGGTGGCTGGAGGCCAGCGTGCAAGGCCATCCCATCAGAACTGCAAGGCCTTTCGACTCAAACAGGAAACTCCCAAGCCGCACCCAAGCCTGGCCCCAGCCTGGTGGGGAGAATAGACCAGGGACGGTTCCCAGCACCCCAAGGCGGGCCGGGCATAGAGCAAACCCACTCGACCACCCCTTGAGGTCAAGGAAGGTGAAGGGGATAGGGTGACCTACACCAGCCCCAGAAGACCCTGAACCCTGGCTCCACCAGCCTAACTAACCCTCGTCCCCAAATGAGTGCAGAGCCACAGGGCAGGAGCGGGTCGGGGGGTGGCAGGACAGCTGGGAAGATGAAGGGGGGCAGGGGATGTTGTCGGAGATGGGGCTAGTGCAGATCCTTCTTGTCCCCAACATCCCGAACTCCCTTCCGAGTAGCCAGAATTGAGACGGAAGCCTCGTTGCCCTCCTCAGCCTCACACACCAGTGACTACTCGCTGTGCAACGCCCGGGCAAAGCCACGTTCTCCTGGGTGTCTCCAGCTCAGTGCTGGAAAGGCCCTAAAATCAAGAGTTCTGGTAAGAATCACCAGGAGCTGATAAATATTCCCTGTGGGTGGTGTAGGGGAGGGGCCCAGAGGAAATCCAAGGAGCCGGCCTGCCTGCCTCCTCCCCACAGCCAGTGACCCCCGAATAACCAATTTCGTTTTTGTTTTTTGTTTTTTTTTTGAGACAGAGTTTCACTTTTGTTGCCCAGGCTGGAGTGCAATGGTGCAACTTTGGCTTACCTCAACCTCCGCCTCCCAGGTTCATGCAATTCTCCTGCCTCAGCCTCCCAAGTAGCTGGGATTACAGGCATGCACCACCACACGCGGCTAATTTTTGTATTTTTTTTAGTAGAGACAGGGTTTCTCCATGTTGGTCAGGCTGGTCTTGAACTCCCGACCTCAGGTGATCCGCCCACCTCAGCCTCCCAAGGTGCTGGGATTATAGGTGTGAGCCACCACCCCTGGCCCAGTTTCAGGTTTTTGTTTGTGCCTCAGTTTTTTTTATATATAAATGAATATATTTTTATTTTAAAAAAAAATTTCCAAGCAGAAGCACCTTTGGCTATAATTCACTGCATTGAAACAGCTAGGCGGCTGAGCACGGTGACTCACGCCTGTAATCCCAGCACTTTGGGAGGCCAAAGCCGGGAGATCACGACGTCAGGAGTTCAAGACCAGCCTGGTCAACATAGTGAAACCTGTCTCTACTAAAAATACAAAAATTAACCGGATGCGGTGGCACACACCTGTAGTCCCAGCTACTTGGGAGACTGAGGCAGGAGAATTGCTTGAACCCGGGAGGCAGAGGTTGCAGTGAGCCAAGAAGGCACCATTGCACTCCAGCCTGGGTGACAGAACAAGACTGTGTCTCAAAAAAAAAAAGAAAGGAAGAAAGAGGGAAAGAAAAGAAAGAAAGAAAGGGGGGGAGGGAGGGAGGGAGAAAGAAAAGAAAGAGAGAGAGGGAGAGAGAGAAAGAACGAGCTGGGCAAGATGTTTCAGGGCTTCCAAGTCTTTCCTACCCAAGTCATCAGCCCCTGCCAGATGGGCCTATTCATTCCTGCCTGCCTGTGAGGCGACTCTCCTCAAGGAGCTCCGCTGAGTCTCGTTCAATGCCTGATCACCCCAGACCACGTGGTGCTTTCCCGCTTCTGTGTCCTATTAACCACTTAACACTGGTCAGGGCCACCCAGTCACATCTCTCCAACTGCATTGCAAATGACGACGGCCAGAACCACAGCTGCCTCCCCCTGCCCCGGCGTCTCAGCACCCAGCACGGGTGAACGAGGTGGGAAGACCCTGTTGAGCAACACGCCGTCTCCCTCCGATCACAAGGCCTGCTCCTGGGAACACCAGGCCACATGAAGGAGGAGGCCTCACAGTTGCGGGAAATAAATAATTTGGCACAAGGATCAAGATAAAGTAGTTTGAGAACTAGTTGCTGATACTACTTCAGGGAAAAGCCTCATGGTGTTCAGGTGGTCACCTGAGCATATCTGAACTTCCTGGCCCTACTGGTGGAGATGCGAGGGGGTGGCAGGGAAGTGTGTCTCAGTTCTTGCCCTATGTAGCCTAAATACAGGAGGACGGATGCTATCGCAATAGGTTGTCCCATTTTACAAAATACTCATGAACTCACCTCACCAGATGGAGCCTCCTTGGGACTGGACCAAACTCCCCACAGAAATGGCCCTGTGAGGCAAGACTCAGGTGTCCCCGGCCTCCTGATGGCAGCGTTCTTCTCCACCTGGGACACGGGTCAAAGACGCCTTATAGGCAATTGGGGGACAGGGGGGGACCCTACCACTGCAGTCAGGGGCCCAGCTGGGGACCACGGGTGGGGCCTCGACAGACTCCTGGGTGCTGCTCACAGGCAGGTCCCACACAGGACAGAGGGGTCGGCTAGGGCCATCTGTGGGCCTCCCAACCCCACCAGGGTGTGAGCTGACAGCATTTCTCTAAGAAATCTGAATTTTTATAAGAACCTTTCTCCTGTGGTAAAACTCATATCTGTTCATTTTAGAAAATACAGATACGTAAGAAAACAAAAATAAAAGCCGCTCCCCAGGCGGTGGTGTCCGCCCCGTCAAAGCCCCTCCCCAGGCAGCGGTGTCCGCCACGTCGAAGCCCCTCCCCAGGCGGCAGTGTCCGCCCGGTCAGCATCCTATGTTGTTCTCCAGTTCTTGTTACTCAAGGCTTTTCAGCGACTCTGGGGCCGCATCGAGCCCCGGCTTTGTGCGGGATGGATACGACACCCTCGGCCCCAGTCCAGACGCCACCGGTCACTCGCTCTGGGAGGCTCGATGAGTGACCTGCCTTGATGTCCTCATTCGTAAAATGGGTGACAGTTGCCAGGCCAGGGCGGCTGTGGGGCCCCGTGGGGGTGGCGTTTGGAGGATGCGCGCACACACCCACCCTCCTGCAAGAGCCCCGCAGACGACGGCCTGTGCGACCGCACCGAGGTCCAGGGAGGAAGCCCCTCCCTGCCTGCCCTTGACATCCCGGAGGCCACAGCGGGACAGGCCCGTGGGACGGGCCCGTGGACGCTTCTGCACAAGGCCCCTGGCCTCCCAGAAGAGGTCAGAGGGTGGCCTCTGCCAGTCACGCGCCCGTGGCGACCCCTCCCAATAGGGGTCCCAGCATCGACTCAGGCTCCACATCGCTCTCAGGGCATCCGGTTGGGAATTCTGGCCGCTCAGAATAAGACTTCAGTGAACAAATTTCTAGGTGCTACTGAAACCAAGTCTGAACATGGGCCCTTCCCAGGGCTGAGACCCCCGGGCCTGGCGCGCTCGGCCCGACAGCGGGGCCCGGCTCCGCCGCCCGCACCCACCCAGCCCCAGGGAGCGCGGCCCGCACGGAACGCCCGGGGGGAGGGCTCAGAACACTCCCGAGCGGACGCCGAGGACCACGAACCGTGGACGCGCCGCGGCTCCCTCCAAGGTCCGAGTTTTAAGTGACACCCGCCAGCCGCACCCCAGAGTGTCCGCCCCGTCCCGGGGCAGCCGGGCCTGACGGCGCCAGGATGCGGCGTGAGGAGGGTCCCGACGCCGGCGCCCGCCCCTCAGCCCCGTACCCGGGAGCGCATCCCGTCTCCACTGCGGGCGGCACGCGGCGGGGGCCGGCGGGGCGCCCAGGACACTTACCCAGGGCCGGCGGGGCGCGGAGGCTCAGGCGCACCCGCGGGGCAGCGCGCCCTGGCCAGGAGCTGTGGCGGCGGGTGCCGGCGCTCGCATCCCGGGGACCCGCGGCGGCTCCAGGGACTGCCCCACCCCGGCACGCGAGCCGCCCGCCCCGCCCCGCCCCGCAGCACCCAGGGCCGGGAGGCGGCAGAGGGCGCCCGCGGGTCCGGCTGTCTGGGGTCCGGCTGCCCCAGCTGCTCTAGCGAACCCGAGACGCCATCCGGTTCCCCTGGGGTCCGCCCTGCGCCCTTCGCGTCCCAGTGATCCCCCGGAGTCTCCGTGCCCCGAGGTGGGGGTCGCGCCCTGCGCCCCTCCAGGCCCTGCGTTCCCCCTGGGGTCTGTGTGCGCCCAGGGCCCCCCCGGTTCTCCCCGCGCCCCCGTCCCCTCCCCAGCGCTCGCCGCGGGCTGTGCCGAGCCGCTGGCCCTAGAGCCGGGTGGTGCAGACCCGAACAGGTAAACTGAGGACAGCGAGTCCCCATCGCCTGCCCCATGAGGTCGTTTCGAAAATGTAAAAGGAGTCATGGTTTTTGCGAACCATAGAGAATATTAAGATACTTTTGGATCCTGAACTTCTCAGGAAGCGGACGCGCGCCAGGCACCGCAGGGTCGCCCGTGCGAAGTTCCTCGTCCCGGACTTTTCAGGGTCCCACGCGGCAGGTGCGCGGCCCTGGACGCCCCAGCCCCGCCCACCCCACCGGTCGGCACCTGGGACCACGCGGCCGGGAGCCGGGCCCTCCCTGCAGGTCCCCGGGGCTCACCCCGCGCCCTCTGAGCGCCCGCCGGCCCCTCCTACCTCGGGCTGCGCCTTTTCCTTCCCCTTCCCGGTGGTCCTTGGCCCCCTCCAGTCCTCCGTCCCGGCGCGCAGGCCCTGGCTGAATTCCCTGTACCCTCCGGGGATCCCTGGGGACACCCTCAGCCTGGCCTCGCACCCCGACGTCTCCACAGTCTCTGGCCGGCTTCCACGCGTTCGCGCTCTCGCTGGGGCCGGCCATGGGGCCGTCCGCCCCTCCTTCTTTCCCGGCCGCTCGCTCGGTGGTCCCTGGAGTCCGCTCCTCAGCATCCGCGCTCCTCACCCCAGCCGGGCCAACCGCGCCCCCCCATCCCGCACGGTCGGTTTTCAGCAGCGCGGCCGAGGCTGTCACTGGCGCTCCCCGGGCTCTCAGTGCAACCCCGTCTCCCTGACGCCCCCAACCCGCCCCGCGCCTCCTGCTGTTCTCCGAATAAGGCGTGTGGGCCTTGGGGACTTTGCACTCTCTGCTGTCGGCTCAGGAGAAGTCTCTTTCCCAGACACAGCTCCCAAGGTTGGGTGGGCGCAGCTGAGAAGCCCACCCTGCCCCCAAGTGGCCACCGCCCCTCCCAGGCTGTAGCTCCTGCAGGGCAGCCCGGAACGGTAGCGTTCTCCCGCTCTGTCCCCAGGGGTCACCAGGTCGGCTCTGCTCACCTCTGGTTCCTAATAGCAGAGGCTCAAAAATGTGGGCTGAGTAAATGGGCTTTTTTTGAGGTAGAGTCTTCCTCTATCACCCAGGCCTGAGAGCAGTGGTAGGATCTCAGCTTACTGCAACCTCTGCCTCCAGGGCTCAAGCGATTCTCGTGCCTCGGCCTCCCAAGTAGCTGGGATTACAGGCACAGGCCACCATACTCAGCTAATTTTTTTTTTTTCGGCTAATTTTTTATTTTTTTTCTAAGTAGAGATGTGGTTTTGCCATCTTGGCCAGGCTGGTCTTGAAATCCTGACCTCAGGTGATCCACCCACCTCCGCTTGCCAAAGTGTGGGGATTACAGGCATAAGCCACTGTGCCACTGGGACAGCCAGGAGCCCTGGGTGCACACATTTATTTTTTGATATGGAACAATGCGCAACTATATTGCTGTATTTTAAAAAATCATTAGTTGCATCTTGATCCAATTTTTGTAAAGTGAATTATGCACAGGAAATGTGTAGTTGGATAACTGTGAGGTTACAGGTGAACTTTAATTTCTTTTTACTTTTTAAAAAGTCTACAAATCCTGTAAATTTTTGCAAGAAGCACATAGTACCTCTGTGATCTGTTAAAATAAGAACCTGTGGGTAGAAGGTGATGGTGGTGAGCCACACCCCCCTGCACAGGAAGACAGCACCCCCATGTCTCAGGGCAAGCACGGGTCCCTTCCACCTACCCTGTCCCACCAGAACCAAGTGGAATGAGACACTTTGTTACTCTGAGTACACAAGGAAACGGCTCCTCCTCCCCTCCCACTGCCCTCGACCGGCACAGGCCGTCCACACCCACCTGTCCCCTGTGCTTGTCCCCAGAGTCTCAGGTCTCTGCAGGACCTGGGGCAGCCAGTGGGACTGTGCAGAAAGAGGATGACCCTGCTGTGGGAGGCACTGCCCCTAAAGTCTCAGGGTCCAGCAGGCAGAGCCCCACGTGGAGTCCTGGAGTCTCTGGGCACCCCACCCGCACAATGGGGGATCCCCGAGCCGCCTCCCGGTCAGGTGGGCTGTCAGGCGTGCCTGCCTCCCCACGACAAAGGTCCAGATGCAGCTGACACCCCCACTCACAGAGTCTCCTTTCTGCCTCTGTGCTGGGGACCCTGTTCAGGAGGTCTCCTCCCTCCAGTCAAGACTTGCCGTCCCCACTGTCATTGAGGCCTCTGGCTCCCAACCACACTCCCAGCACCTGGAGACACACCCCTTTCTCTTGGGCCACTGGTCCTCCTGGGACTCTGAACCAGAGGGACTAACACCTGGCAGGGATGGCAGCTGGGGCAGGACTGGAAGCCTCCAAGGAGCCACCCCCAGCTCTGGACTCAAAGGAGTCGTGGGTGCAGCAGGTCCCCAGAGCCATCTGAGCTGGACTCGGCCCCCAGTGGACGGCCACAAGGCAGGTGCCCACGGCCGGCTGCAGCACCAGGCCCCTCCCAAACACACCCACGTTGGCTTCCCAGAAGTGTGGGGGCAAAGCTGCTCTTCATGGGCCTCTAGGAGTGGTGACCACCACTGCCCCCTCCTGGCCACACCTTTGCCTCCCACAGGCAGACCAGGCCAGGACCCCAGGGCCCTGACCTCAGAGGCAGACAGGGGTACATGGACCCCTCGGGCTGGGCCAGGACCCGGTGCAGGCGTCTATGGCTCTCTGGCTCTCTGACGGTGGCTAGGTTTCCCGGGTTCCCCACGACAGCTGTGGCTCGCAGCGTTGATGCCTCACAGGGAGCCGCGTGGGCAGCCCTGGTCATGCTTGGGTTCCCTCTCCCATACCACTTTCTCCTGGAGGACAGAGAAGGACCTGGGGAATTTTGTCTTTTGTTAAAAACCACCAGGTAGCTCCCTGCTGGGCACAGTCACGGTGGCACCCCTCAGAGCTCCTGCTTCCAGGGTGCATTCCATCATTCCAAGTTCACTGTGCTGGAGTCAGCTCTCTGCCGCCCGCAGGGTGGCACAGTTGTGGGTGGAGGGTGAGGGGGAGATGAAGATGGGGGAAGGTGCAGGGTGATGGGGGGAGGTGCGGGGGGAGGTGCTGGGAGGAGTGGGAGTGGAGCAGGAGGTGAGGTGTGGTTGGAGGGGGAGGTGCAGGATGAGGGGGGAGGTGGAGGTGAGGGGGGGAGGAAAAGGATGGGGGGAGGTGCCAGGTGAGGAGGAAGGTGAGGGATGGAGGGAGGTGCAGGATGAAGGAAGGAGGTAAAGGATGTGGGGAGGTGCAGGGTGTGGGGGAGGTGGAGGGTGAAGTGGGGAGGTACAGGATGGGGGGAAGTGCAGGACTGTGAGGGGAGATGCAAGGTAGGGAGCGTGGGGAGGCACAGGCCAGGGGCCCCAGGTGAGGGTGGATGGCGTGCACCTGCACCTCCATGTCTGCACTGATGACTGTGAGGACCCGGAGCAGAGGGAGGTAGCGGCCCCCAGAGATGGCTGTGCCCCCCGTGTCCTGCTGTCTTGGGTCTTGGGACCAGGGGTCGAGCGACACTGGCCTGGCCTGGCCTCCCAGACCCAGCCTCACCATGCTGGGCCTGCGCGGGGCACCTGGTCAGCTGTCCACCCCCTCCACCCCCAAACCCAGGCTCTGAAGGGTCACAGGGCACAGCCTGCCTGACAACGGAGAGCTGAAAGGGTGAAGGCCCTTCTCTCTGTGGTCTCTCTGCAGCTGTAAATGCCATGGCTGTGTCTGGCAGGTCCACCCGCTCAGTCAGCAGCTCCCGGAGCTCTGTGGTGCAGCCGCACTGCCCCCACGTGGCCCAGGCTGTGTGCAGCTGACGGGCCCTCCCTGCAGGCGCCTGAGGATGGGGTCTGTGCTGGCAGTGTGGCTGGCGGGGGGCACGGCACCCCCTCCACAGAGAATCCTCCACAACTCGTGAGCTCACTGCCCTCCAGGGACCCCCAGAGTTTTGTATCAGTGACTCCCACAAGGAGAGAAGGGGAGTCCCCCCTCCACACTTCCACTGCAAGATGCTCCTCACCGCCTCCCCTTGACTCTTGGTGGCTGGGAGCTCCCGGGGAAATGCCCCTCCCGACAGCCACAGCCCACCAGCCCGACACAGGCTGTGCATCCAGGGGTTTCCTTGCCAGCAGGCCGGCCTGACATGCGTTTGTCCCGCGTGCTACCCCTGCTGGTCCTCCCAGCGTGCGGTGCAGCGGCCCCAGCGCCCTCCTCACCTTCTGCTAAAGAACTTGTGCTCCCGAATTCTCAGCGGCTTTTGTTCTCGTGAGTCTTCATGGAGGCCCCTCTCCAAGGCAGCCCCCCAGAGTCTGCCTGCAGATCAGCAGCCCCCATGGCAGCCATGTGCAGAGTAGCTGAGGGTCCCTGCACCACACACCTGAGTGTACCTCACACCTGTGAATCTGCCACACACCTGAGCACACCACAAACCTGTGCGTCTGTCCCACACACACGTGACGTGCTGAGAAGCACTTTATCTCCATCAGAGGAACATCTCATTGCTGCGAAAAGGAAGGAAGGAAACTTCATCCCCAATCTGACCTTTTCTCTATAAAAGTCTCCGTCTCACCTGCCTTTGTCCGCTTTCTAGGAATATGGAGCTAACCGCGCACACACAACATTCCTTCCCCGGCAGCTGACACACAGGATGAGCACATCGGCCTCAGCATCAACCGCTGGCCCGTATCATCCATGGAGGACAAACGATCGTGTGCCTGTAGGCAGGTGTCTCACCAGGGCTGGCAGCTCCTTGCAGTAGCAGAGGCTTCCCTGACCCAGGTAGGAATCCAGAGGCCAGAGAAGCCGCGGGTGTGGAGTTGGGGTTGTTCACTGCAAAGGGAGACGGCACGGGCAAGGCCTGGAGATGTGGCTGGGAGGGCTGCAAGGTGGCTGCAGCAGCTGCCCTCACCCCAAGCACGGAGACCTCACAGGCCTGAGGCTGAAGGAGGAGTGGGGGCAGCTCCCAGGGTGGGGTGGGTGCAGCTACTGGACACTGAGTCCAGGTGCCCGTGAGGCGAGGAGAAGCCGCTGGGCGCCTGGCCATGGAGGCCTGACACTGAGTCCAGGTGCCCGTGAGGCGAGGGAGAAGCTGCTGGGCACCTGGCCGTGGAGGCCTGGGTGAGGAAGACCTCATGGAACTGGGAGCCTGGGGCCTGGGCAAGGCAGCTGACCTCATGGAGTGGAGCTTGGGGTCATCTGCTGCAGAGTCACGGGGGTGTTAAGGTCTAGCGAGGCACCCAGTGGATGGCTGCGGATCCTCAGAGACCGCCCTGGGATCCCCATGACTGAGGTCACAAGGTCAGTCCCAGCCCCATACCTTGGGCCTGACCCTGCCACACCCGGGCCTCCTGTCCAGTGATGTTCTAATCCACTAACCACGGGCACCACAGATGGGAAACTCACGGTGCCAGGCCCCACCCGTGGCCAGCACAGGCCAACAGATCCCCAGTTTCTTATCAGTGACACCCACCAGAACCCAAATCTGAAATCTGAATACCCCACCCACTTCTTCCACACAAGCTCTGGCTTCAGGTTCTAGGGGAGGCCACGTGCCAGCGAGGGGTGGGGGTTGCGAGGAGATGCGGGCAGCGAGGCTGCAGGTGCTGCCGGGGGACACACACACCAGCCAGGACCGCAGGACAGACCACAAGGCCACAGGCAGCACAGTCGGCTGTGGGCAAGGACTCCCCGCAGCCTGGCAGGTGGTGCGACCGGCAGAGTAGCCAACTAGGAGCAGACGAGGACAGCGCAGTGCAGGCCCCACACCAACCCGGGGGGCCACATGGGGCCTGGGCACCTGAGAAGGGGCCAGCACAGATTGGTGGTGTAGCCAGAGGGAGCAGCCAGGCCCCCAAGCCCACATCCCTCCTCCTCCCATACCCAGGGAGCCGGGAGCGCCTGCTCCAGAGGGATCCGTATCCAGAGGCCCCAGGCCAAGTGCAGGTGGGAAGTTGGGGAGATCTCACCTGGAGCACAGATGCAGACCAGCCCCCTGCACCCCTCCACACACACAGCACACACCTGCCCAGCGTTAAGAGACTGGGGCTTTTTCCAGGAAACCACGCCCCCTGCTCCTCACCCCTCAAGCAGGGATTTGAGCAGGTAGCAGATCCCAAGAGACCAAAACAGAGAAAAGACGTGCAGAACTGTGTGGAACAAGCAGCGTCAAGGCAGGCGTTCTGAGCAGAGGCTGCAGCCCCGAAACCAGACGCATCACTGCAGAAGGGAAGCGTCCAGAGAATGAGGCTGGGGCTCAGGAGTGTCAACCCAGGGGGGCCCGGCGCTGCACAGCAAGGCAGGGAGGGGGACTGGGCAGCACTGGCAGTGGACCGAGGTGAGCAGGGGGATGTGCTGGGTGGCCATGTGCGGAGACAGCGTGGCTAAATCATTAATGATGGAAATGCGCAACCTGCTACACCAAATTGGATTTCTTTATCCAAACGGAGCAGTTTTATGAAATGTAGCCTCTTGAACAGAAGGTGAGAGTCCCTCTGGCTTTTCACAAGCAGAGCTGTGCACGCTGGGCTGGACAATGTCCCAGAAGGTGCCCAGGACCCTGGGAGGTCCCAGACGAGCCAGCACATCTGACGCAGTGACTGTCTGTAGGACCAGGGCATGGGGCCTGGTTCTTGGACCTATTTGATTTGAAAAGCTGAAGGCAGACCACAGGTCTAACATTCCCTTTATTGCTTACGTCGCATATACCAATGAATACAATAAACTCCTTTTTAAAAAAGTAAGGCACATGAAAAGCCTTTTGTGCAAGTTCCATATTATTTTAAAATTCCTATTGGCTAATAAAAGCATTTCCACTATAGAACCAGAGACATCTAGAAAAGCACATGATAGATTTTTTTGCAAGCAGAATGCCTCAAACATTATTACATTTACCTCATGGCACAATGAGACAGTCACCAAATCCAATGTCTGCATTATAATGATGCAGCTACTATTAGAGTTGGAAAACATGAATCACCTTATCCACATATGTACAGCTGGGTCCCCACACGGTAAAATCTAAAGGAAGAGCAGCATCTAACTGCATCTGGGTTCCGTTCCCTCACAGGCAGGAACTTTGGCGTTTCGGCTCTTGCCATGTCGTGCTGCTCTTCATGAGAGGCCAGGGTCATACGATACTGAAGACCATGGACAGGTACTGTTCGTACGACACCTGAATCCAGCCATCCTGATCTGTGTCGTAACGTCTGAATATATCCGTCAACCTCTGGGGAGAAAACATGCATTTAAATCTCGATAGTGAACGGGAAGGAGCAAGGTGCACTGGGACAAAGTCATTAGGAACCCAATTTCAGAAGCACACAGGTCATCTCCTGATGGAGCCCAGCACAGGGAGGCACAGGTGGGGCTGGAGCTGTTCACATGGACAGTGGGAGTGGGAAGAACACAGGGCTGCAGGGCTGGCTCCACTACGTCCAGCCCTGGCTGAGCCCCTGACCGAGCCCCTGATCCCAGGCCCTGGTCTCCTGAGTCTCCTGGGGGCCTGGGCCCTTCCATCGCCCCTGAAGACCGTCCCGTGGAGGCCCTCCACCCTCCAGTGGCTCGCCTCTGCTGTGGGGCCACCTGGGCCATGTGGAGCTCAGGACACAGTGGGGGATCTTGTGACATCACGAGGGCTTCAGGCTCCTTCAGCCCCGCCCACCCCTCCCTCTGACAGTCGAGGGTCCAGGCCAGATCAGCAGCAGAGACAGGGTGACCGCCTACACCCTCCTAACAGGGATGGTTAAGTAAGTGCCACTTCTAGATGATGGACTTGGGGCAGCCGTAAAATATCACGAAGATTCAGGCCAGCATGGTGACTCTCGTCTGTGATCCCAGCACTCTGGGAGGCCAAGGCGTGAGGATCGCTTGAGCCTGGGGGTTGAGGCTGCAGTGAGCCGTGTTCACACCACCACACTCAGGCCTGGGTGACAGACAGCAAGGGTCTCTCAAAAAAAAAAAAAAAAAAAAAAAGGAAGGAGAAGAAGGAAAAAGAAAGAAGAAGAAAGAAGAAGAAGAAGAAAATGTGACAAGGGAAGAAAACAGCAGTCCTCGCATATCAGAACGTGGACAGGGTGTGGTGACTCTCGCCTGTGATCCCAGCTACTCAGGAGGCCAAGGCGGAAGGAAAGCTTAAGACTTGGGGTCGAGGCTGCAGTGGGCTGTGTTTACACCACCACATTCCAGCTGGGGTGACAGAGTGAGACTTCATCTCAAAGGAAAAAAACCACCCTGCAGGAACGCCACAGCACCACCAGGCTCCTGGACTTGGCAGCAGCTACGGCCTCACCAAACTCCAAAAACACCTGCAATGGATGATGCTGGCTTGAAGAATAATGGGTAATTTTTCTTTCTTTCTATTTTGAATCCTTTGTGTTTTTCTAGGGTTTCTAAAAGTGTTCATATTATTTGTTAAAAAATAATTTTCGAAAAGCCTTTATCCTTTTGGAAAAAGCAGATGAATCAAAACGTTTTTGAGGGAATTTTAACTTGTGGTCTGCAGCTTTCTTTTCTTTCCCATTCCCCATCTGTCTAGTGTTTAGGGTCACTCTCCAAGGGTGGGGACAGCCCGGGAACTGGCTGTCAGGCCCTCCCCATGCGGTCTGGAGCCGGGCCTTGGGGAGGCAGCACCCCCCAGGAGGAGCTACGCTTGCTGCGGATGTGCCTTGGAAGGCGCTGGAGAGGTCACTGTGAGGCCGCCAGTGTTACTCCAGCTACCGAAAGCTCACACAAGATCAACGTTAACTTACAGAATATAGTCTCAAATGAAGATCTGAATCCTACAGCAATTCAGTCACGGTACATAACGAGATTTTACACTGCATCTTTTCCCTCTTTTTTTGTGACACAGTGTCTGGCTCTGTCACCCAGGCTGGAGTGCAGTGGTGTGATCTTGGCTCACTGCAACCTCCACCTCTTAGGCTCAAGTGATTCTCCTGCCTCGGCCTCCTGAGTAGCTGGGACTACAGGCATGTGACACCAGGCCCAGCCTACACTTTTTTGAAGGTGTTCAGAGAACATTGTGAAAATGTCATCCAATGTGGCAGGAACCCCAAGAGGCAGGGCAGGAAAGGCTCCCCCACTGTCAAGTTTTGAGGCTTCCATGTTCACAGACCTGGTTCTCCAACAAATCCCTGAAGAGCAGGGACTGATGGATCCATCAATCAGAGGAAACTCACTTTTACAGATCTAGCATTTTAATTGTTACATAGAATAAACAATTTGGGAACGTTTCCGAATTTCCCCATTTTTTTTTTTTTTTTTTTTTTTTTTTTTTTGAGGCGGAGTCCTCACTCTATCGCCCAGGCTGGAGTGCAGTGGCACCATCTCGGCTCACTGCAAGCTCCGCCTCCCGGGTTCACGCCATTCTCCTGCCTCAGCCTCCCGAGTAGCTGGGACTACAGGCGCTCGCCACCTCGCCCGGCTAATTTTTTGTATTTTAGTAGAGACAGGGTTTCACCGTGTTAGCCAGGATGGTCTCGATCTCCTGACCTCGTGATCCGCCCGCCTCGGCCTCCCAAAGTGCAGGGATTACAGGCGTGAGCCACCGCGCCCGGCCTCGAATTTCCCCATTATTTCTAAAAACCCCATGCTGTTCCTATCTCTCACGGAACTGCGCGGCCACCAAGGCAGGACCTTGAGGAATCTGGGTGGAGACCGGGATCTCCACCTGCACACAGCAGCAGGGGTCTGTGTGGAGCTCCCAGGCAGGTCCCCTGAGCCCTGCTCTCCATCTCCGTGGGTCTCAAAAAGAGCCCAGCAGGAGAGACGTCACCAAAGAGCTTGCCTTGCAGGTCAGGATGCATTACAAGCTCCTGCAGACACTGGTGTGCACACGAAGAGCGCGGAGACCCCACCGAGGGCAGCCCGAGTGCCCACAGGCTCCACAGCTGACCTCACACACAAAGACAGCAGGACACAGTGATGACCACAACAGAAAACGTGCCCATTTTCTCAGAATAATTTTTTTGCAAAAATACACTATCATTGGCCAGGCACAGGGGCTCATGCCTGTAATCCCAGCACTTTGGGAGGCTAAGGCGGGCGGATTACTTGAGGTCAGGAGTTTGAGATCAGCCTGGCCAACATGGCAAAACCCCATCTCTACTAAAAATACAAAAATTAGCTGGGTGTCACCTGTAATCCCAGCTACTGGGGAGGATGAGGCAGGAGAATCACTTGAACCCGGGAGGCAGACGTGAGAGTGAGCTGGGATCGTGCCATAGCCTGGGTGACAGAGCGAGACTCGGTCTCAAAAAAAAAAAAAAAAAAAAAAAAAATCAGAACACCAGAACATACGTGTAACTAACCCACCGGATACTGCAAAAACAGCGTCTCCCAGATGGGCTCTCCATGCCATTTCCAAGGGGAGGAAAACATGTTTGTCTACACTTCCACTAACCAGCTACTTCTCCAAAGATGAGACTCACTCTTATAAGCTCCAAAAACTAATTCTACATACGCCTGACTCCTTGGATTGAAGGTCAGGTGCATCACGCTGGCAAGCGAACCCCTCCCACCACCACACCAAACCCAGGTGAAGCCACTCCGTCACCTGCAGGACGATGCAGCCCTGGATGAAGTCGTCGAAGGCGATCTGTCCCCGTCCCTGCCTGTCGAACTTTCGAATGAGGATGTCGTGGAACTGGTCAGAGAGCCGGTAGCCTTGAAGAGTGAAAGTCGGAGTCAGAGAGGGCTGGGAGAGACGGGAGGTATATGCCAACGCCCACCCCTCCCTCCCAAGGCCCACAGCCTCTAACACACACGATGCAAGGCTGGGTGTGAACGGAAGTGCAAATTCACTCAAAGGCACTCAGAACTGAGACACTTCCCGAATACGTCGCTGTGTAATGAGCTCACATCTGCAGTGCATGGAGCGACGCCTCGAGACCATGACCCTGGAAGGAGGAGCGAGTGGGACGTTGCCATCGGTCACTCTCGTGAATTAACTACTCACCCCAGGGAAGCACTCACCAACCACCACCCCACAGGGCGGCCACGCTCAGTTTCGTGAACCCAGTGGAGTTACTTTCAAAGTCCTTATTGATTTTATTATGTTTATTAACCTAGATAAGAAAATTCTGAATGATTCGCCGCCCTGGGTTGCTTGTCACCAGACAATGCTTTGAAAACTAAAATTTCACAGAAGGTTTCCAGTTATACAAAGTGTCAATGTCAAGAAATGGGAGTGTCTGGGGGATGTGCCCCACCTGCCATGAGGGACTGACGGGCACAGTGGCAGGGTGACCTCGGAAAGGTCCAAGTCACTGCAGGGCCACCAAGGGCTAGGATTTCGTTTCCAGTTCACCGAGCCTGTCCTGAAAAAGGCCTCCCACAGGGAGAGGTCTCTGAAGACGTGTGGAGGCAGCAGGTGTGTTCGGGCACCTTGGAGAGCACGCCCCGCCTGCCTCCTTCCCTTCCCTCCCTCGAAATCCCACTGCCTTCGTGACTGTGGCATCCTTACTGACTCAGGAGGCAAGATCCAGGTGCCGATCTGTTTTTACTGGTTTTCAGCCCTGCTGGAATCTCTGCAGGGATGTGTGCACCTACTGTCTGAATCTCACAGTTAATCGCCTATACAAACAGCCCCTCACGGATAGAGTCAAGCACACACACATGAACACAGTGCCTTCCAGAGTGGTCAGGGCGTTCTGCCATTTAAGTTCAGGGGTCCCTAAACGTGCAACAGCGGAGTTGCTTCGGACCCTCCTTCCCTGCAAGCTGAGAAGACAGGACCTCCTGTTACATTCAGAAAGAAATGGCAGAGTTGTGAACAGCTGCCACTTCTTCTGGTCCCTACTATTCCCACCTCCTCACTCCCTGCACCTGTACCAGGGCTGAGCCCGGCCTGCTGAGAACAGAGCCTGGGACACGGCCACAGGGACACTTCTGTCTGGGAATGCACAGGGGACAGAGGCCATCACTGGGGTACAAGGGGGACAGAGGCCATCACTGGGGTACATGGGTGACAGAGGCCATCACTGGGGTACATGGGTGACAGAGGCCATCACTGGGGTGCACAGGGGACAGAGGTCATTACTGGCCTCCTGCCAAGGCTGGGGAAGGACAGCGGAGATGCTGACAGAGGCACAGGAATTCCAGTCTGCACAGACAACAGGAGCAACCCCCCTGCCTCTGGAATTAACTTCCAGCGTCCTTGGTCATCAGTAACAGTGAAGGGAAAACAAAGGCAAAGTCAGACTAGTAAAATGAGGGAGGAACAAACGAACTACAAGAAGAATGTTTATTTGAGAAGCCAAAACCCAGCCGCAACTGCTTCTGAGTTTCTGTTAATGAAAGTCAGCAAATGTGAGACGACCAGCACCCTTGGGCCCGCCCCCGACACGCCCGTTTCCAAGGTCATTCTCCTCGTTCGGACTCTCTGAAATGTGGTGAACCAGCAAGCAGAGCCGTGACCTCCTTGGAAATCTCATCCATTCCACCTCCAGGGAAATACAAGCTACCACCACTCAACAGGACGAGGCTCCCTGGGGCTCCCCCAGCTCTGGGGGGCCTGGTACGTGGCAAAGGGCCACGGCGGCGGAGCCGTTCTCCGCCCAACTGCCTTTCTCAGATACCCACTGCCCACCAGAGCGGAGAGTCTCACTGGCAACCTGATGGCACGTGCTGAGTCGGCCGGCCGGCGCCGGTGACGGGTGCCCGAATGTGCGGACGCCTTCCTCACCTCTTCACTTTCGGTCTCTGGGCGTGGCACACAGTTGATGTTAACAGTAAAGGCTTAAAAAACGAACGGGTGGATTATAAAATCCACACGTGGCCCCGTCAGAGACACCCGGGGAGAAATCTCGCAGGTTCCACCACCTGGTGATTCCCTCGTGCTGGCCCCTGAGCTCAAGTGCAGCCTCCCTGCTTCATCTGAGAGCAGAACATTTGCTCATAAGGGCCAAGACAAAAGAAGAATTTTTGCTTCTGGGGCCGACTTCCTAACAGTTATTGTAGGAAATCTTTTGAAATAATCAAAATACAAAAAGGATGACAATGCCCCTTTCCACGGAAGATGTGGGAGATGGTCCTGGACATCAAGAACCAAGCACAGAAGCAAACTTGCCAGGGCAACCAGAGAAAGCGCTGCGATGGGACACCGCACCAGGAAAAGCCTGGAAGTCAGGAAAGGTTCTGCCACCGCGCAGCACAAGGAGGCCTGCCCGCTCCGGGGCACCAGGAAGGCTGTGTGACTGGTCGTGCCTCCCACCACAGCTCAGCACAGTTTTCTGGGCAGTCCTTCGCCAGACCAGGACGAAGAGGGCCTCAGAGCGCAGGCAGCACCGTCTGTAACAACTTCCACTGCGCATTCTGAGGACCGGTGGTCACCGGCACGAGGCAAAGGGAGCTCCGGGGCCTGACAAGGTTGGGAAAAGATGTCTGTGGCACCAGAGGTCGCTTGTCTAAAAATAACTCCAGGCTGGTCCTGAAGTCCATGTGGCCCTGGCCGCACTCGGCAGCACAGGCCTCCCCGGCCCCAGGACCGCTCTCTGTGGAGGGTGGCATCCTTCCCTCCCAGCCCTTCTGTACCTGCCCCAGGGAAGAGGAGCCGGCCAGGGTTCCCTCCACTTCCCCCACCCAAGGACACAGCAAGGTCAGCTGCATTCCAAGTGCCAATTCAGAGCCATCCAGCCCAAATCCTGGCTCGCAGCTGGTCACCTCAGAACTGCTTCTTGAGACCCAGTGTGCATAGCCAGCCCTGTGGACAAGCTTGTAAGGTGAGAAAGAGAAGAGAAAGAAATGCAGCCATAAAGTGCATGCTGGGAGGAAACGCGAGGAGAGGCGGCGTGCTTAGGTAAGTGAGACTCCAGTTATCTCAGAGGTACTCAAGTAGAATCGAATTTTCCTCACTGTTTCTAAGGAGCCTTTTAAGTAAATCACGGAAGCGGCTTCATACCAGGGGCCAGATGAAATCCGCCTGGATTAGAATCTTGGTGCAGCCACCAAGAGCCTCAGGCTGGCCCCAAACATGTCCGTTGTTCCTCTGTAAATAGAACCCCTGCTTCCTCTCAGACCTGAGACTAGCACAGGAAGCCCCGTGGACAGGCCCTACGGACGCACTCTGGACGGGCCCTGTAAACACTCCTAGACCCACGGCACACTGTCACACGTGTGTGCACACGCGTTCAGCACACACATGCACACAGTACGCACCTGCGGAACACACTTGAGAATGATCACGTGCTCCGCCTCTCTGATGCTGTTCTGAGGTGCACGGCACACGTGTGCGCACACACACGCCGAGCACACACACGCCGAGCACACTTGAGAATGGGCACGCAATCTGCCTGACGCCCCTTCTGAGGCGCACGGTTTGGACCTGGTGACTGACAGCTGTTTCTTAGGTTGACTGTCACCTTTTCAACACGCTTTGATCTATCATGAAATATAAGCTGCCCTGCCCCACGGTATTTTCACGGATCCACTTTTAAATGATTTCAAAAGCCACATTCTCAGTTTTGCTCGTAACATCATTCCACTTCACAAAAGACGAATGGCTTGCATAGCCCTTATCTCATTTTGGATAAAAAACTGCATAAACGTGTCCGTGTCAAGGATTGCCTTCCGACATGAGCAATATCAAATACGAACCTGCATGATGTCAACAAAAACTTTACATAGCCTGGTTAGACAATCAGTTAAGTTCAACAAGGTTTAAAAAACTTCAACGGCTCCTAGGTTCCAAAATGAAACACACTACACAAGCCAGGATGAGTGAGTTACCGAAACCTGAAAGGGCCTGCTTCAGCTCGTTCTTGTCGATCATCCCGGAGTTGTCCCGGTCGTACGTGCGGAAGACGTTCTGCCAGTCCGTGATGTACTTCCACACACCCGTGAACTCGCTGAAGTTCACACCGGCCTTGTTCTCACGGTCAAACATGGCTGAGACAGAGAGGAACAGTCAAGCAACAAAAGATCAGTCGCAGCAAACTCACTCGAGGCTTCCCACCAGACCTCTGCCCTCAGAGCCCGGCGGGGCCCCACTGCTGATCACTAACAGGGGCTGGGCAATGCATGCCTGTCTGTGAATAGGGGCGAAATCCCTAAAAGTCTTGTCACTTTTGCCCTGGGTGGGGTGTGAGGGATTGTCCCCCAGCCCTGGCCCCCTAAGTCCCATGAGAAGGTGCGCTTGCAGCTGTGAGGCAGGCCGTGCAATAGGATGTGCGAGGAAATCCGGCCGCAGCCATGACGGAAAGAAGAGCAGAGCTTCACACTCAGCTTCCCAGGCGCACGGAGGGTGAGTGGCCCTATCTCCTCTGGCTCCTGGGTCTCGGCCTAGAACACGAATCTAATTCCCAGAGCTGACCCTCCGACTCTCCAGGACCCACAGCACTGATGGAGGCTCGGAACAGCCCTGTCGGGAAAACCTGCTTTAATTAGAAACAGACCCTCGCCTACATCCTATTTGCTTTCAGTCTAACTCCAGGTCCAAATACAAAAGAATCTGCAACTACCTTTACACGTAGTCGCAATATGGTTAAAAACCATAGAAAAATTCAATCTGAATTACTGCTGCAGAGAAAACAATAAATCACGTGGTCTCTTTTCAAGAACAGAAGTTAATATAGGACTGCAATACGACTACTCCTGGTTTCATTGGAAATACGTCACAACTGAATGAAAATCCACAGGATGAAAAATCATGTGAGAAACAGCATCGATGCTTCCTCCCAACAGTCCACAACCCCGTGTGCAACCAGGGGCTGTTTTTCACAGGACCGTTCCACGACGTGCACGGTGTGTGTGGACGATGCTGGTGCGTGCAGGACCCACTGTGCACCAGACACCAGCAGGGAAGGGTGCTGGGTGAGCTGCACACCAGGGTGAGGGTTCCGCAGAGGAGTGGCTCCCAGGCCCTTCCTCTCTGGGCGGGAGGTAGCTCCCCATCTATCAACACCTTTTCTAGCACTAAAGGCTGAGCCCTGCCACTGCTATGCTTCCAGGTTTTCTCTCCTTCCATCAATGTGACGTGGCGACATGTGCATGACCAGCGCGGCACAACCATCTGGAAAAGCCCCCCAGCTACACCAGCACTAGGACTCAGACACCTCACCACACACGGGCTTCGCAAGGAACTCAGGGAATCCTCACAAGACTAAAACGCATGCATGGATGGGAGATGAAGGAATGAGCCCCAGGCTGCTCTGGGAAACCTGGAGACACATTGCTGTGGTCCCTGTGAGGCAGAACTGAACCTGGGATTCCATATTAAAGAGGCGTGAAGGGGGTTGCACCTCCCAGCAAAGGAAACCTTCCAGAAATCAAGTGGGGCAGGGATGGAAACACGACTCCCCTGAACACCTGCATCCCAAGCCTGCCTGCCCCTGGAGCTGCACCTCCCACCCGGCTACAGGGGATGGAGACACAGCACGACTCTCCTGAACACCTGCCTGCCCCTGGAGCTGCACCTCCCACCCGGCTACAGGGGATGGAGACACAGCACGACTCTCCTGAACACCTGCCTGCCCCTGGAGCTGCAGCTCCCACCCCAGCTACCGTCTGGGCATGGGGGTGCACACCTGTAATCCCCACTCTTTGGGAGACTGAGGCAGGACGATTGCTTGAGCCCAGGAATTCCAGACCAGGCCTGGGCAACACAGGGAGACCCTGTCTCTTAAAAGAAACAAGCAAAAACCCGGCTACCTGTACAGCTGGGGAGACCCTGAACCCAAAGAAATGATGCAGACCCTCACATTAAGGCTACACATGAACCCACAAAACAAAAATTACAGAAACATCAAGGAAGTTGGTTACTCTGTGTGGGCTTGAGCAGGAAAAACAATCGGCTATAGACGACCCTCCCAAGGACTTCAAACACACTGTCAGGTAGCTCCACGTCACAAATATCTAGCACTTTTCAATAAACACATGTTCTTAAAACTGAAGACTATCATATGAAATATTTGAATACGGCTGGGCGTGGTGGCTCAAGCCTGTAATCCCAGCACTTTGGGAGGCCCAGGTGGGCTGGGCGCAGTGGCTCACACCTGTAATCCCCACTCTTTGGGAGACTGAGGCAGGACGATTGCTTGAGCCCAGGAATTCCAGACCAGGCCTAGGCAACACAGGGAGACCCTGTCTCTTAAAAGAAACAAGCAAAAACCCGGCTCCTGTACAGCTGGGGAGACCCTGGACCCAAAGAAATGATGCAGACCCTCACATTAAGGCTACACATGAACCCATAAAACAAAAATTACACAAACATCAAGGAAGTTGGTTACTCTGTGTGGGCTTGAGCAGGAAAAACAATCGGCTATAGACCACCCTCCCAAGGACTTCAAACACACTGTCAAGTAGCTCCACGTCACAAATATCTAGCACTTTTCAATAAACACATGTTCTTAAAAACCTGAAGAGCGCGGATCATCAGTAAATATTGGAACTAGAGCGCATGGAATCACCAAAAACCTATAAATAAGGGCCAGTGGGCGGGGCGGGCTATCCATGAAACACCCAGGATGTGAAAGCATAACTAGTGATTTAGAAATTTAATATGTGGTTTCATCTTTATAGTAGCGAAACTGAAGAGGGGGACAGGTGAAACAAACAGTACATTGGAACAATAGATCAGAAAAAGAATAAGCAAAACAGGACACGACGAGACATGAAAAGTACAGAGACGGGGATGCTCCGAGAGGGATGAAAGGCCTACGTCATCTAAGTGAATTCCAGAAGGAGGAAAGGTGATACGGACCCACAGGACAAAGCGGAAACTACAAGGGGGTGCCCAAGCGGTCGGATACAAAGAAGCCCCACAGGCGGTCCGTCTTGCTTGATATTTACATATATCACCCTGGACAAGTTCACTGATTAAAAAGGAGCCCGTGCCTGCAAACAAATACAACAGAGTTAAAGGAAAGGAAAATTCTTTCTGGGGACACCGAGTCCTGATCCTATAAGCTGGACCCTGGGAAAAGGCGTAGGGGCGTCCTAG